CATCCAAGAACTGGGGTATAGGCCAGAGGTGTGTGTGTGTGGCGGCAGGGCGGGGTGGGGGGTGGGTTGGTGAGAGGATTAACCAGGGACAGAGTGGGGAACAGAACAGGCAGATCTACTGAAATACACTGCTGAGGGGAGCAGCAGGCGAGCCAGGAGAAGTCTGCTGCATCATCTGGGTCAGCTCCCTGGACAGGGATTGAACTCATGCTATAGCGGCTGCTTATAGCTTCATTGTGCTAAGTCTTAACCCCTTGTGCCACCAGGGAGGCCCAAGCATCACTACTTTCATAGAAACAAACAAGAAAATAGAGAGGGGGAAATGCATACTTCTGAGAGGGCCAGGGATGGGCAGAAGGTCCTTGTGTTGGCCTCAGAATTGCTCTGGGCACCCTCCCTGGCATTTTGGAGCACTCTGTTCCATCCCCATAGAGACTGCGGAGATTTTGGCTGGTGGAGGGAGCAGGACCAGAGAGAAACCCTAGAAATTCCTACTGAGGCTGTGATGAGCAGGAACAAAGGAGTTCCCAGTCTGTGAAACTCCCTGATTTTGGAAGCGCTCCCTGAATGCTGTGCGCCCTGCCTTCCAAGGGGCAAGCCCACAGCTTTAAAAAGCACCCATGGTCCTCCAAGGGTCAGATCACAAAGATGAACCAGGGCATGAGGGTTAGGGTGACTGCTCAAAGGACAGCAAAAAAAAAACTAAAAATCTTTCCCCGCTTAAGAATAACTGGCACTGGGCCTCCCCGGTGGCGCAGCAATTGAGCGCTGGGTTGCAAAGCTGCCTGTGGCCCCTGAGGCGCCAGTTCGATCCCCGGCTGCTCCCTGGCCACCGGAGGAGGGTCCCACATGGCGCGCAGACCTCTCCTGCCGCCCGCTGCTCCCCTCAGCAGTGTACTTCGGTCCTTCTGCCTGCTCTGCTCCCCGCTCTGGCTCTGGTGAATTCTCTCACCCTCCCGCGCTTCTGACTGTGCCGAGTGCTTGTATAAATAAATAAATCTTTAAAAAAAAAAAAGAATAACTGGCAGTGGACAAGGAGGACTCACATGTCAATTTAACTTCTGTTTTCCCTGAACCCACCCTCACCCCCATTCCAAGACATGGTTATTTCACACAGTGAAGGCCTTGCAGGCTCAGACACCCTCCTCTTCCTCCTAGGCCTGTGGACCATGAACTCTAGTACCCGATTCCCAGGACAGGCATTCACAGCCTCCTATCTTGCCTCCCTGCCCAGGGTCTTAGGCCCTAATTTATGCTGTGGCCAACTTGCCTCCCAGGTGCCTCCTAAGAAGCCAGCTGCTCTCAAGGCTCAGCAAGAACTGAATCCACCCCACCAACGCTGAGGTTGGTCCCGCTGTGTGGTAGGCCTGGTGAGGGAGACGCAGATGGTGGGGCAAGTCCCCAGGGTGGCGTGGGCGCCTGCAGGCTGATAGTCAAGGGGGCGACACCCAGGGTCAGTTGCACGAGGGAGGAACTACACAAGTCTGAGAACCCCCAGGAGGGTGACCTATTCATAGGCTGGGGGATTAAGGGATGGCTTCTTGGGGGCGCAGTAGTTACTCTAGAGTGGATTCGTGAAGGTGGAGGATTTCTTACAAAAGAGTGGGGGTGGCTCCTAAGTCCCATAGGAAGGGTGGAGGAAGCAAAATGCTGGGCAAGTTTAGGAAAGGGGCAGGCTTGGGTGACTGGAGCCAGGAGGCAGCATGATTGAGAAGGAAGGAAGGAAAAGGTGAAACAAGATTAGAGGTGGGTCATGGCAAATTGACCTGAAGGAGGAATTTGATGTTCCACTAAGCAATCTGGATTTTATCAGTGTGTAGGTGTCACTGAAGGTTTTTGAACAGAGCAGGTGTGGGTCTATGCTCAAAGATCCATGCTTTAAAAAGTGCCATTGCAGAGGATGAGAGAGCAAGGAGAGGGCTTGGAGACTGGAAAACGGGGTGTAAAATGTAGGGCCCCATGGGCAGGACTGGCTACCTAATTTGCAGGGCCCAGTGCAAAAGGAAAATCTAGGGTCCCTTACCCAAAAATTAGTAAGATTTTCAACGTATCTCAAGTGGAGCATTAAACCAAGCATGAAGCCTTCTATGCATGGTGCCTTGCACACCTGCACAGCTAACACACCCACGATGTGGCCTGGTCGTGGGACTGGAAAGGGAAGGTCAGTAGAGAGATCTGGAAGGCCGAGTCCTGGGACTTGGACATCTGTTGGACATGAGAGGTGAGGGAGCAATTCTGCTGAGGGATGACCTTCCTGCCCCAGGAAGGCTTCCCCACTGTTTAATGACCACCCCCTGGGTTTCTTACCATCAACTCTAATTTATTCAAACACTGAAACTTTACTGCCTCCTCTTCCACCTGCTCTTTACCCAGGTCTGTTCCTACCGGGTCCCTATCTAAAGGTGTGACCCTTCACCCAGTCACCCTATTAAAAACCCTGGCATCGTCCTCTACTCCCTTCCCCCCATTCCATCCCTTCCTGCATTTTACTTCCTATAGGTTTCTCCCAACTGTGTGGCCTCTTCAATGCTGTTATCACTGCCAAGTTCCGGCAGGCCCTTTTTGGCTCAGGCCTGGATTACCCACAAATGCCTTTTATCTGTTTGTCTCCAGTTTGGACCCCACCCCCGCTCTCAAATAAAACATCCACTCTCCACAGTGCTGCCTCAGTGATGTCCCCAAATAGTCTCCTGACCAGCTACCTGAGTAAGACATGGGGGCTGCTCCAGCCAAAGGGTAAGATACAAATGCCTGACATTGCACACAAGGCCCTCCGACACCTGACACGTTGCAAGTTTCTAATAAATGCCAGAAGTGCCATGTCTCCCACACATCTCCAGCGCATACCAGGCTGGGTTTGTTGTTTTTTACCCCTTTAGCTTAAGCAGTTTCCTCTGCATTAAGGGCAGAATGCGCTCCACCCTCCTCCTCCCTGGCCTGGCTAACCTCAATTTATTCTTCGAAGTTCAAGTTTGGAAGTTTGACTCCACTCTCTCCAGACCTAGAAAGCCGTCTCCAGGCCTCACCCCCACCCTACCCAGGCTCACTACAGAAGCCCGTGGCTGGGTCTCCCCTCACATCCAGGCTAGGAGCCACTGGAACAAGGAGTTCTGTGCAAGTCAGGGTCCAGCACCCCATGCAGAACTGACCACATGATGCTCCATACATGTGTGGGCTCAGGGCTGAAATCATCTCAGGTGGATGGCACTGGTAAGGTGGGAGGAAGAGGATACAGGGGAGGCTGGGAGGAATAACCCCAAAGAGAAAGAAAACCCCCATATCACATCTTCATTAAGACCCCACTGGCAAGGTGGGGATAGGATCTCTGAATGCAGACCCAGTGACGATGGCTGCTGTCTGGTATCTGGTTTGATTGCATTTGATTTCAGATTTTGATTTTTGCTTCCTTCTAAAATCCCCTCTCTCCTCTGCTGTTAGTAAACATTATCTCTCGTGCTGGCAGGCTGTTTTTCATCTATCAGCTCCCTCTCCAACCTAGACTCACAGTACAAAGGCTGACCATGAGTTTTGGGCTGTCTTTCCCTCATGTGTCCCTGCAGCTAGGAGAGCCCTTAGTAAATAACCTGATGAATGGGTGAATATGTCCAGTTCCCCAAGAATGGGGACGGGAAGCCTGAAGCTGCTGGGGACTGGTGGGGGTTGAGAGCCTGGGATTATTCTTGATCCACAGATAATCCCCCGAATCCAGAAGCCACCTGGACAGCAGTTGGTTGGACTGAGTTCCATGACAGATGCATATTGATGCTACAGCTGATTTCACGACTGATTTTCAGAGGCCAGAAAATGGATCCCCCCCCAAAAAAACTATTCTAATAACTCTTGGCATGTGTCAGAGAAGAGGACGGTCAGCACTTTGTGGGCAGAATCCATTTAGGGAGATTTTATTCGGCTCTCCTCTCTCCATTTTTTAAAAAGATTTATTTATTTATGCACACAAGGGCTGGGGTACAGGCCAGAGATGCAGGGGGTGAGAGGATTCACCAGAGACAGAGTGGGGAGCAGAACAGGCAGATTGACTGAAACAGTCCTGAAGGGAGCAGCAGGCGAGTCAGGAGAGGTCTGCTGCACCACGTGGTTGCTCCCTGGACAGGCGGGGATCGAACTCGGGGATCGAACTCGTGCTGCAGAGGCTGCGGACTGCTTCATGGTGCGGCGCTTAACCCCTTGCGCCACCAGGGAGGGCCCTCCCCTGTCCATTTTTTTTTTCAAAACCTGTCGGTACTTTTATTATGGAAAGTTTCAAATGTAATGGAAAGTTTCACATGCACCCCCGAGCAGGAAAACGGCACGAGGAAGCCCCAGGTATCCATCACTGATCTCCAACAGCCGCCAACACCAGCCCCACCCGTCAGGTACCTCCCTCGAGGCCCCTCTCAGCGGTCACCTCACTTCTTCCAAGCAGACTTCGGGCAGGATCAGAAATCCTTCGCTGCTTCTGGGGGTCGTGGCCCGGGGCTCCCCCGTCCGGCCGGGGAGCTGCCCGCAGGCCTCCGGCGGGCTCGGGACCGGCGCCCACAAAGCGCACCGCCCGGCGCGCGCGCCCCGCCCTCCCCCGCCCCCCCGCTCCCCGCTCCCCCGCTCCGCGCGGGTCTCCTCGGCCCGGCGGCGACGCGGACCCCGCGGGGCGCGCGGGGCGGCGCCGGCGCTTCCTCCCGCGCGCTGACTCAGGCCGCGCCCGCCCGCGCCCGCCGGGGCGTGGCCGCGCGAGGGGCCGCCCGCCGCGGCCTTATTTGGGCAGCCGCGTCACGGGCCGCGCTCCCATTCACATAAAGCGCCGCGCGCCGGCGGAATCCCCGGCTTCGGGGCGCGAGCGGCCGGGCTGGGCGCCGAGCGCGGGGCGGGCGAGCGGAGTCGGCGGGCGGGCGGGCGAGCGCGCGGGCGCCGGGCTCGGTCGGCCGCCGCGGCCCCGCGGGCCGCCCTCCCGGGCCTCGCCGGCGGGCACCCTGGCCGTGGGCACCGGCGGGGCGCGCGGCGCGGGGCCGCCGGGCGGCGGCATGAAGGTCACGTCGCTCGACGGGCGCCAGCTGCGCAAGATGCTCCGCAAGGAGGCGGCGGCGCGCTGCGTGGTGCTGGACTGCCGGCCCTACCTGGCCTTCGCCGCGTCCAGCGTGCGCGGCTCGCTCAACGTCAACCTCAACTCCGTGGTGCTGCGCCGGGCCCGCGGCGGCGCGGTGTCCGCGCGCTACGTGCTGCCCGACGAGGCGGCGCGCGCGCGGCTGCTGCAGGAGGGCGGCGGCGGCGTGGCGGCCGTGGTCGTGCTGGACCAGGGCAGCCGCCACTGGCAGAAGCTGCGCGAGGAGAGCGCCGCGCGCGTCGTGCTCACCTCGCTGCTCGCCTGCCTGCCCGCCGGCCCGCGGGTCTACTTCCTCAAAGGTGAGCGCGTCGGGGCGCCCGTCCCCGGGCACCCCCCAACCCCGGGCACCCTCCCCGGGCACCCTCCTGGGCACCTGCCCCGGCCACCCGCCCCGGCCACCCTCCTGGGCACCTGCCCCGGCCACCCGCCCCGGCCACCCTCCTGGGCACCTGCCCCGGCCACCCGCCCCGGCCACCCTCCCGAGCACCCTCCCGGACACCCTCCCCGGCACCCGCCTCCGCCGGGCCGGGCCGGCCCCTCCGGGACCCCGGGCGCCGGGCAGCCCCCAGACGGCGAGTCCGCGCCGCGCGGTGCCAGGAAGGGCGCCGACACTGGCAGCGCCCCGAGTTCCTCGAAAGCCCCGGTCCGTCCGCCCGCCGCGGCGGGGTGGGCTCCAGCTGGGCGCGCGGCCCCCGAGTGCCGTCGGCTCCTGCCGGACGCGGCCCGCCTTGCCTGGAGCGCGCTTCGCGGCCCTCGCTGGAGCCTGGCGCCGAGGGTCCCTGGCGCACAGCCCTGGGGCAGGTCGCGACCCCCTCCCCGCCCCCAGCCCCGGAGCGTGGCGCCGCGATGGCCCCTCTCCTCCCGCCTGCACGATTACGTGCATTAGGCTCTGTCTTCACCGACCCCTCTTTTGCCTTTTTGACCCCAGCGAGCCGCTCCTCTTCCTTTCCGTTTCTTTTTATTGCTTTTTATTGTTTTCCTCCGGCCTTGCCCAGCCTTTCTCTAGCTCAGTTTGGAGCTGACAGCCTGCCCACCCTTTTCGCCCCCTCCCTCTGGCGCCTGGGTCATCCCGAGTGGGGTGCTGAGAGCATAGCAGAATAGGCCCTTCCACCCCAGGCTGGAGCCCAGGAGAGGTGCCCAAGGGTGAGCGCGGGGTATGCCCCCTCCCTTGGCTTGGAGACCCCGGAAGCTGCGCCCCCGCACCTGCTGAGGAGGTGACTTTGACTTCCGGTAGTAGGTGGGTGATTGACTTTCAAAGTCAGAGAATTGATTTCTGGGTGACTTCCTATGACTGTTTCCGCCTAGTGTTGGAGTCCTTTGCAGTGGCTAATGGATGGTCTTCACCTAGTGCAGAGAAGGGAGCTCACCCCCAGATCTGCCCCTAAGGCCCTCCAAGCCCTGATCCTTGGGGTGGATCAGTGATGTGGGTCAGAGCTAGTGAACTCAGAGTTAGGAACCAGCTTTAAAACATGCAGGTTTCACACCCCAGAGGAGGGGGCTGCAGAGGTACATGGGCAGGCAGCTGCCCCCACCAATAGCACCTCCTGCTCTCTGGGCCCTGGAGATTCCTGTGTGGGAGATGACTGAGACAGGATAGTCTGCTTTTTTTCCTGCAGCCTCAGCCCCCAGGGGATGGAGGGGTGCTCTCCAAGCTCTTCAGAGGTTGCACACATGTCCCCTGATTTCTGTCTCTTCCTGATGTGGTTTTTGTCTCCTGTTCTTAGCAGTGAGTAAAGGAAAAGCCTCCCAGTAACATGAAAAACATGTTCCAGGAAATCCCTCCTGGTCTTCCCTCTTCCCCGCCCTCTGCAGGGAGTCCATTCTCACAGCTTACAAGTTATTTCCATGCGAGGCGCCTCTGTAGACCCCACATCTCAGGAAAATTAATGTTTAAAATGTGGTTTGAAGTGAAAGGAACATGCAGGTAAAAAAACTTGGGAACAGCACAAAGGCTGTTCAGTGAAAAGTCAGTCTAATGTATACCCTTGAACACAGTTCCATGCCCCCAAGATAACTATTTCTTGTTCATTTTTAAATAAGTTCATTTTCTATGCGTGTCTTTTTAAATATAGAATGCTTTTCTGTATTTCTGTTTCTGACTCTTACCCAACTAAATCTGAGACGATTCCTCCATATCAGCCTGCGTGTCTGTTTCACTTCTTTAACCAGCCCCCTGATGACAGCCAGCAGGTTGCTTCTGCCTCACCATCTGAAGCAGGGTGGCAGAGGATATCTTTGTCACGTGCTTTTGTGTGTATACTATCTTTCAGCGAAGCCATAATTGCCAGGTTGAAAGAATGTGCATTTTAAATTTGAGTCAAATATCCATAATAACACTACTCATCCTTAGGTTGTTGCTAAAGAATATGTTTATTTCCTTATGTAATTCATGTCTAAGATACAAGTTCTGGTTTTAATCCAGTGGCATCACAGCTCTTGGGGACAATATCTTTATACTTCCCTTAATCTCTCCTCCCCCCCAAAAAAAACCCCACTAAAATGAGGTGATGGTCCAGTGGCATTGAGGGTGTGTATACATAGTGTCAGTGCTCCCCTGCTAAAGCCCTGGTGATAGAAAGCAGAGTCACTCTGAAGTGGGTTGAAGCAGCCAAAAGAATTGCCAGGGCTCTTGCAACTTAAGTGAGGCACGAGAGAGGAATGTTCTGTCTCTCCACGCCTCTGCTGGGAGTGGGTGAAAGACAGAGACCATCTAATCTGGAGGACTCATCCTGACCCCAGCTGGCAGAGGCAGGGCTCTGTTTATCTGTCCCTCAACTACACTGAGACTCTTTGTGTGCCTGCCTTACTTTGTCAACAGTCAGGCAGGGACCAGCCCACACCCGCACCTCCTATCTGTCCTCCTGTCTGTCTCCTGACGTCCAACTCTTTATTTAAAGCCAGAAGATGGGTAGCCTGAAAGCTTCTCTATACCAAGCCTCATCTGGGAGGGCCAGGGCCGTTATTCCAGTTTCCCTCCCCACATCGCTCCATTTGTCTCCTGGAGCCCAAAATGTTGAGGCCCAGGAAGTGATTTCCTAGCTATGGTAGGTACACCTCTTCAGAGGAAGTTGGTGGGGGTGGGGAGAGTCAGTGTATGTCTGGCAGTCTCAGCCTCCTGGGGGGAAGGGGGCAGGAGCTATTGGGGAATTGGGAGAAGCTAAGCCACTAACCTCTCCATCACCTTCCCACTCCATCCTCTCTGGCCCTGACCTCCCTCATTGCCACCAGAAACAAGGTCTTTGTGGGGGACCAGAAGCTTCACCAAGGGAGGCCCCAAGGGCTATTTGGTGAAGTGACCACAGGGGAGATTTGGGTGTACTAAATGGTGGTGGGGGCCTTTCCAGAAAGCTGAGCGGAAGCCCTAAAGGCTAGATGACTCATTCTAGGAATTGGCTGCAGCTTTGGGGAGGGAGCTGGAGTTGGCCCTGTAATCCATTAACCCTTTGTCTGTCGCTGGGGTTTACAAAAGCCACGTGTTCCACTGGAGGGCTAGGCAGACAAGACAGAGAGACTTTGGGGAAAATATAGATCTTAGAATGCATATTGATTTGACAACAAGTGAATTTTCTGGGTCAGGAAAAGACAGCAGTGGGTTGTCTGGAGACTCTAGGAAGTGACTTGAATTCCTTCCATTGGGAGCGAGGTTTTCCCAAGCAAACCTGACCTGTTTCCGCATCACCTCTGGGCAGCCTGAGCATTCTGAGGCCTGGGTCTCATTTGGTTCTTCCATACTAAGTGCACCGAGCCCGAGAAGACTTGTGCAGAAGCTCACATATCTGTGACGTGGTCAGAGTCCTTTTTTACCTTAAGCGATCTATTTGGAGACATGTAAATGTAATATTAAGGATTTTTACAGTTATGCTTGCTAGCAGTTGACTTAATTGATTTGGGGGGGTGGGAGGTCAAAGGTCAGGAGGGGAGGGTGATATGGAGGTACGAAAGGGGGTGGGTAGGTGGTCATAGGGGAGAGAGTTTATATTAGCTGCAATTTTTACTGTGGGAGCTAAGAACTAAGTTCAGGAGGCCATTCCCCCAGTTTGGTTTGGAAGGTAATTAACGAGATTGATTACTCTAAATGGGACCACTAGAGAGATTGTCAGCAGTGTCCTCTGCACCTTGGGAGTGAGAAAGGGCAAGGCTATTTTATTGCTCTGAATTGAAACCTCACATTAGCCCCCAGTCCCTTGGGAATGGAAGGGGGTTCCATCTATAATCCTGCCTAGGACTGCAGGACTGGAGAAGAAACAGACCAGCTTAAGAGTTGCTCTCTTCTCACAAATTAATGAAATTCTGCTTAATCACACCTACATTTTAGATAAACAAGAGAAAACAGCTTTTGTTTTCTACAAGGATTTGGTTAATATTTGCCAGATGTCAAATATTTCTTTTCACAGTTTAGGCGGCTTCTGATAGACACAAATAGTTAATCATTGCCTTTAGGGGCTATTGATTTTTTTTTTTAAATGTGTGTGTATGTGCGCGCGCATGCATGCCCAGGTGTGCGTGTGCAGACCTCATTCCTATTCTAAAACTGTTAGTTGCTTTGGCTCAATTTTTTTTATATGACCAGAATCTGTATTAGCTCAGTATTTTTGACTGCTCCACAGTCAGGGTATTGATTCATTCTGGGCATTTCTGACAGCCCAAGAAATCAATGCTTACATTTGTCTTATTCTTGTTTTTTCTTGTAGGGGGATATGAGACTTTCTATTCTGAATATCCTGAATGCTGTGTGGATGTAAAACCCATTTCACAAGAGAAAATTGAAACCGAGAGAGCCCTCATCAGCCAGTGCGGGAAACCAGTGCTCAGCATGAGTTACAGGCCGGCCTACGACCAGGTGGGTATGCCGACGTGGCCAGCTCCTGGCTCCGCGCCTTCCTGGCTACCCTGGCTTTTCCTCTCCCCGCTCAGCAACCTCTGCTGCTGCTTTTGTGGATCAGGGTGTTGGCAGAGCCCTGGAGCTTTAGAGAGCCTCTGACTTGCCAACTTGAGTTTCCATCCAAGAGAAAATGGGCTTTCTTCCAGCAAACAAGCTGACAAGAGCAAACGAGCCAAAGGATGCTCAACAGCTTCTGGAGGAAAAGGGGAAGTGAGAACTACATTATTCTTAGCTGGCCTGGGAAGTGTGCAGAAACTGCAATACTGGTCTGGGTTTCCCTGAAGACCTTTCCAAGCTGACTTTCAGGCTTCCTGTGTTGATCTCCTTTCTAATTGTTCATGCTCTGCGGTTTCTGCAGACCAGCCCAGTACCTGGCAAGGCAGGTCTTGTTGGTACTCTTAACTGAAATGGAGTGGGGGGTGGGGGTAAAGACAGAGGAGGGAGGGTTATAGAGAAACTTCTGTTTGAATAGCTAAGCTGGGTCCTTTAAAGGTTTCTCATGCTTCTAATTCCATCAATTCCGGAACCAGAAGAAATCAGGAAATAAGAGGGAACTTCGTGTTTCTACAAACTTGTGGGCTTTTCCCCCTTCCAAGTATTGGCACTTTGTGACGACTTGTTAAAGAAAGAATGAAGTGGACACTCAGGTGGGATTTTGCCAATGACACAGGAGGATAAGGAAAAGGTGGGCGGGAACCCCAATGTGGCAGAATCAGGGCAAAAGAAAATATTTCAGGGCTAGTAAGTAGGTTGCTTTGCAAGGAACCCTGAAGCTGGGTTCATGGCAGCACTAGACCCAGAACCACCGCTTATCTTAAACTGTTCTAGCCCTTTCCAGGACCTTGTTCTGTTTTCCACACCTTCTTTCAGGAAAGGGCCATTGTAGGCACTATGGTTGATGGGAGGAACTTAGCAAGTTTTCCCCACAAAATAGGACATTCCAAATCTTAAGAAGGAAGACTTTTAGATGCTGCTGAATATGCCACCCCCCTGCCATCACAGATCTCTGCCCCTGGAAATAGACTTCTGAGGACAGCCAGGTGACCTTTCCTTGAACAGGATCCTTGGTGAGGAAGCCTGTTAAGCCTGGCGAGGTGCCCGGGTTATTATTTTGTTTGTTTTCCTTTATTAAAAATACTGAGCTTATGATGAACCCTTGACTTTCAAGCCACAGGCATCCGGCCTGGCTGGATTTCTATTTTTGTTTGTTTGTTTGCATTGTGTTTTCCCTTAGTTTTCTCAGAAAGTGAAAGAGAAACAGGAACTGGCAGGATGTTGTAAAAGCACAGAGGACTTTTGGCCTGGTGGGGAGGCCCTGCTGTGTCTCCAAGCCTCATCTGGGGAACCCCCAGTGCTACTTCTGAGAAGTACTCCTGCATGGAGAGAAGTTAGGCAAAGTGGTGATAACCTTTGGGGTTTCTGAAGACGTTTGGTTTCTTCCTGAGTTTATACAAAAGATTCAGAAAAGGAAAGAAACATGGTTTCGGGGGTGTGTTTGTTGGGCTGAGCACCAGAAGAAATTGGATAGGCTCCCAAGCCCAGTGTGTCAGCGTTTTGCAGGCACCTTCTAGGGGAGGATGACGTGGACAGAGGGGCCTCTGCAGTGTGAACCCAGGGGCAGCTGAAGCAGGTGCTAATAAAAACGGTGGGAGTTGCTATTATCTTTTGTAAAATCCTCTTTAACTTTCTTCGAAGTGGCTCACTGGTATTTGCTTAAACACTTGACTTCTTAGAGAAGGAAAAGCCAGCTCCACATGCTGGGTCATTTGAGAAGTGCCCTCTGCTGCCCTCACCATGTGCCCCCTCCCCCGTCACAGGGCCAGCAGAGAGTTTCCTCTCCTCTCTGCTACGAGGCAGGAAATAGAAATACAGGAAGCGGATGGATGAGATGGAAAAGCTCCCAAAGACACAGCCGCTGTCACCTTGCCCGCCATTGCCCTCTGACCCTGCAGAGGCTCCCACTGTTTCTGTCTTCACTGACTTGCCCACCCCCCCCCCCCAAGTGCCAGCACCTCCACCGGAGCCCCACTGGGCAGCACTGCTGTCTAATAGCGTTGTCTCTGCAGATGTCTCTGGTTCTCCCTTCATCGGGAGTCTTCTTGGCTAGAAACCTGGTGTGTGCATGTAAGCATCTCCCACCAGGTGCTCAGCCCCTTTGAAGAAGGTCAAGGGCAGGGGAAGCCCCCTTTGCTTGAGCCTACCAGCTTGCCCTTCCTGAGGATTCTGGGTAGATAATGGTCGTTTTCAGTTCTAAGAAGCATACTTCTGTCGTTGGGGAGGGGCCCGTGTTAACATCCCTGAAATCTGGCCACCTCTTAGGTTTGATGAAATGCACTGCACAGAATGTGAGGGCTGCAGAGGGGGAAGGCTCACCCCATTGCAGTCTTCTCCATTTTATCTGGAAAGAAATCGAGGCTGCCCCAAATAGAAGGGCCTTGCCCCGGTGCTCTCATGGTAGCAAGACCTCCTCAGTCCTTGATCTTCTGCCACCCCACACTGCCAGCATCTTCGTCAGCACAGGAAAGCTGCTGGCATCTCCCACCTCCACATAGGAAATGAAAAGCTTTGCTGTGTGGGGTTTGCTGTCATTGAGTCACACAGAGGTGATGTAGGGCAGAGAGTTTGCCAGGATGGAGACCCCGCCCACACTGTGGGTAGGTCTGCCCGGTCTCTGAACCCTCTACCTGGAAACCGGAAAGGGGGACCTCCCACCTGAGACAGCATAGATGGGGTGCTTTTGTTCCGCTCCCAAATGAGATGTTAATCCAATCTTTCCTGCTTGTCCTTTTGCCCCTGCTTCCAGGGCAGCCCAGTTGAAATCCTCCCATTCCTCTACCTTGGAAGTGCCTACCACGCGTCGAAGTGCGAGTTCCTCGCCAACCTGCACATCACGGCCCTGCTGAACGTGTCACGGCGGGCCTCTGAGGCCTGCGAGCCTCGGCTGCACTACAAGTGGATCCCCGTGGAAGACAGCCACACGGCGGACATCAGCTCCCACTTCCAGGAGGCAATAGACTTCATAGGTATGTTCCGCCATTCCCAGGGCTGTTACGTGTAAGTCCCTTCAGGGCACGTCTTCTTGGACTGGATTGATGGGGGGCCACCTTCACTAAAGGAAAAAAAGATGTTTTGTATGTGCAGCTACCAGGGTTGGAGCCAGAAAGGGAGGCAGCCACTGAAGAGGCAGAGGGGCGGATCGGAGCTGCTATTAATAGGAGCTTTAATTTGCAAGATAAATGAATTAATATATTTTTATGGCAGTCCTCAGCAGCCGCTCTTGTCACTGTTTCTAGCTGGGTGGGAAGTAGAACACGTCCCTGCATGATACTCCACACAGGGCCAGTGGGGTGGAGTGAGAACCTCCCTAGCTGCTGCTACGGAGGTTGGACTATTTTTGAAGCAAACAGAAGGATTGAGAGAGCACTACTTATGCACTGAGCCCCATGGTTTTTGGCAAACCGCTTTGGGGGCAATTTGTTTTGCATTTTCAGCTAATTTTGGATTAAAGATAGCACTTGCCTCAAGCTCTGTGCTTATGCATAGAAAAGTTGGCATCTTTTGCATCCTTTCTGCATTCCATGAGGCCCTTATCATTTACCCCACTGTGTAGGCCTGAAACCAGGCGCTGGTGCCTCTGCCTGGAAAGGACTCAGGGGCTCCTGGCCTTGGGTTGCCAGGTACTCTGTGTAGCCTGGGTTGTTCTTCCATTTGACTGCCCCCACCCACCGCCCGCCCTCTCCCCAGAGGCTGGGCTGACTTTTTTCCATCTCAAATTTGGAAGTACCACTCTCCACCCTTGTGTCTGCCACCCTTTTCAGAGTCCTTTCTTGTTAACTTTTGCATTGTTGGTTTTCCTGGCTCTCGTTCTGAGTGCTGTGGGAAGGCACAGCAGTGATTTCATAAGGTGCGTAGTGATTCAAGGACCCCCTGCAGCCATGTGGAGGGTCACCACACAGGATGTCTGCCCCATAGAAATAGCAGAGGCGGAAGCCAGCTCTGGCCTCCTGGTACCTGAGCCTCTAGGCTGGGATGATTTATTTGCAGTGCCCGAGAGGCAGCCAGAGTGATGGATTTGGGGCAGGAAACCTTTGACTTGTTTTCCCTGTCTCTGGAATGCCTTGCCTTCTTAGCCTTTTATTTAATTACCTGGGTAGCTGCTCAGTGAGGTCATGAAACCACCCCCATCCACTTCTCAGAAGCCTCCCTCTCCATGTTGTGTGTGTATTGTGTCTGGTGTACACAACCGCACAAACCCACAGCACCTTGAAAGCACAAGATCTTCCCCAGACTCCTAGCCCAGCTGATGCAGGAGGGACTGGGGTCAAACCCACATTGTGGACAGCAGGCCCCAGGGGTCGGCTGAGGCCAGAAGCGGTCTGCTCTGGGCGCTTTGCTTTCTTGGATGTGGCACTGGTCAATTAAAAGCTGGACTACAAAGGAAGCCACAGAGGAGGAAAGGAAAATTGGAGTCATGACCCTAGGTTCTGGGGTCTCTCCTTTGAACTAATTTCCCTGACCCTTCTGAGTTAGTGTATTGGAGGGAGGGACCTCTCATGTGTTTCCCTGGGGTGTCCTTTGGGGTTTTATGATAGGGAAACTCAGGATCCCTCCCTGATGCCTCAAAAACTTGCTCTTTCACTGCAGGCTTCTTGAACTTGAGAAGGGTGGTGGGTAAGGTGGGGCTGACTTTTGCACTTGCCCTGCACAGCCCTAAATGTTTTTACACGGTGGCCTTCGTAATGCCAAGGGCAGCTAACTTCCTGTGACATCATCGTTTCCTCACTAGCGAGACAGGGAATTGGAAGGTCTAATTTTCTGTGGGGTTTGGTTCTTTCTTTGGATGAGTATATATATTTGACTTTTTATCCCTCCCATTTTTAACAGTTGTGCCTCTTGTTTTGGGGGGAGAGTGGATTAGAAGAGGAGGATAATCCCCCCTTTTTGTCACACATTGAGCTGAAGAATGCTAACTGATGGGGGTAGCTTTATAGCAGTGACTCCCATTGTTGTGCAAGATGGAGTTTGCGCAAGCCATTTATATCCTCCGTCTGGTAAGCGTCACTTAGCCAGGGCTATAATTAGTGGCTGTGCACTATTTATTGTATGTTTGGTGGTGGGAACCCTGGGAGCTGAGCCAAGCATCCCGCCCTGGCACAGCCAGACTGGATGACTGTGGGAAGGCCTCTATCAGAATGGGGGTTAGGTCATCACCATTAGAATAAAATTCTAAGAGGCAAGAACTGCTTCTCCAAGTCACTCTTGGAGCCTTTTCTGGACTCTTACAGAAAAATGTGCATGCCCCATAAAAACTTGCAGGCAGCCTCAAGGATTTTCCATTGCCCTCTTGAAACCCTTCCACGGAAACCAAATGAAGATGGCGTCCCCAGGAAGAGATTATTCCAGGTCTAGTGCCTCCACTGGCAGAATCTGTGCAAGTATCCTGGAGAACTAGGAAGCTGCTATCAATATCACAAAAGCCCTAAGACACCAGAAGCGCTCTCCTCACTGCTGCAGATCAAAGTCTAGCTGTTGAGCAGGCCTGACAATTTGATAAGGTGACTTTTGTGTTTTGTTCTTGTGTCTTGGGTTTCAAGCCCAACTCATTCCGCCTGTCTTCTTCATTCCAGACTGTGTCAGGGAAAAGGGAGGCAAGGTCCTGGTCCATTGTGAGGCCGGCATCTCTCGCTCGCCCACCATCTGCATGGCTTACCTCATGAAGACCAAGCAGTTCCGCCTGAAGGAGGCCTTCGATTACATCAAGCAGAGGAGGAGTATGGTCTCGCCCAATTTCGGCTTCATGGGCCAGCTCCTGCAGTATGAATCTGAGATCCTGCCTTCTACGCCCACCCCCCAGGCTCCCTCTTGCCAAGGGGAGGCAGCCGGCTCTTCATTTATAGCCCATTTGCAGACACTGAACCCTGACTTGCAGGGTTCCTACTGTACCTTCCCTACCTCAGCGCTGGCACCAGTGCCCACCCACTCAACAGTCTCCGAGCTCAGCAGGAGCTCCATGGCCACAGCCACGTCCTGCTAAAACAGGCATGGGGGAGGCAGCCCAGCCCCACGAACAACTGTGATTTTGTTTTTCAAACTTGCGGACATTTCATACCTGTGCAATACTGAAGACCTCACTCTGCCCTGGTGGGATGGTGAGGGTCGCCAGGCTTGCGGACGAACTTCAGGCTGACCTCGGGGATGGGTCCTCGGGGCCGAAGGAAGGCCAAGCCATTATGGGAGCACAGCGTGTGCTGACTACTGTACTTCCAGTCCCCCTGCCCTCAGGACTGCCCGGTCCTTGCACCTCAAAGTTTGCCTTTTCATTTCAAGCGTAAGGCAATAAATACCTGCAGCAACGTGGGAGAAAGCAGTTGCTCGACCAGGAGAAAAGGCAGTTTCGAAGCCAATTCATTTTGAAGGAAGCACAATTTCTACCCTATTTTTATAACTGGCAGTCACAGTAGCTGCCGCTGGTGATTCAGGGCCTGAGCTGGATCACCATCTCATCAGGAAAGTAACCCCACAGGGTCTGTAGGGAAACAATGTAGATGGTGATTTGAAGCTAGAGATCTCCCTTGGGTCCAGTGGAGGTGGTTGGTAGAAATAGCAAGACACTGGCTCCTCTGGGTTTCCTTTACACTGTGGGTTCTTCCCTGACCTTGAACTTTGGCATGATTCTTCCTCATACTTGAACCTTTCTCCTTGCACCGTTCCTCAAAGCAACTCATGTCAGTTGAAAAGTCATTCAAACCATAGGCCAAAAATCACCCCTTTGAGGTGGTGGCAGTGGGTGCCAGGAGCAAGAGGTACCTGCTGTCTGGGTCAGTGGCATCAAGGGTCATTCCCCAGCTTGCTGTCCTTACATGTGCTTGTCTGTCTCCTGTGACACTTGTTTTTTCCCTGCCCCTGGGGGTTGTCTCCAAGCTGTTGACTTCTGGAATTTTCAGACTTCATGTGTGGTACTACTATGTTTTTGTCTGTAGGTTATTTCTCCAGGGGAAAAGGCAATAATTTCCTAAAATCCATATGAATGTGAAGAAAAGCAGTATGTTACTGGTTGTTTTTTTATAGTGCGAAATAAAAATAGTAAAAGGAAAAAAAGCACTGCTTCTTGTTGGTGAATCGGAGTAAGGCAAGAATACATTTTTTTTTAAAGATTTATTTATTTATGCATACAAGAACTGGGTACAGGCCAGAGGTGTGGGGGGTCAGAGGATAGAGCAGAGACAGAGTGGAGAACAGAACAGGCAGATTGAAATACACTGCTGAGGGGCCTCCCCGGTGGCGCAGCGGTTGAGCGCTGGGTTGCGAAGCTAACCGGCCTCTGCAGCGCCAGTTCGATCCCCGGCTGCTCCCCGGCCACTGGAGGAGGGTCCCACATGGCGCGCGGACCTCTCCTGCCGCCCGCTGCTCCCCTCAGCAGTGTACTTCAGTCCTTCTGCCTGCTCTGCTCCCCGCTCTGGCTCTGGTGAATTCTCTCACCCTCCCGCGCTTCTGACTGTACCCAGTGCATGTATAAACAAAACAAACAAACAAACAAATAAATAAATAACATGCCTCTATAAAAAAAAAAAAAAAAAAAAAAGAAATACACTGCTGAGGGGAGCAGCGGGCGAGACAGGAGAGGTCTGCTGCAGCATGTGGGTACCTCCCTGGCCGGGGATCGAACTCGTGCTGCAGTGGCTGCAGATAGCTTCATAGGTTGTGTGTTAATCCTTTGCACAACCAGGGAGGCCCCTAAACCTTGAATTCTTCAGCTATGAAATGAGTGGACTGAACTAGGTGGTCCTAAAAGCCTGATTCTAGCAAGCCTGGGTGCCAGCATTGTGGTCAGCCTTCTTCAGTGCCTGGCACGTGGCAGACACTTACAAAACTTTGGCCATACAGCCAAGAGATGGAGAAGTAAACTAGGTGAAGGTTCACCTCAAATGCCTGCCCACCTATTTACCCTTTGAACTAATTCTTTAAAAAAAAAAATTATGCATACAAGAACTGGGGTACAGGCCAGAGATGTGGGGGGTGAGAGCACTCACCAGAGACAGAGTGGGGAACAGAACAGGCAAAATGACCAAAGTACACTGCGGAGGGGAGCAGCGGGCGAGTCAGGAGAGTCTGCACCATGTGGGTCACCTCCCGGGCCAGCTGGGGAATCAAACCATGCTGCAGTGGCTGCGCACAGCTTCATAGGTTGTGTCTTAACCTCTTGTGCCACCAGGGAGGCTCCCCTTTGAACTAATTCTAACAGATAATTCCCCCAAGAGATACTTGGTAAATCAATGAGTGGACTTAAATTCGATGCCGAATCAACTCGCCTTCTGAGTAATTTCCTGTCTTGGAAGGGGCAGTATTGTACTTCCCACACTACTTTTCTCATGCCAGCCTAACTTGGGTCTGTTTCCTAATTGGGGAACCAGGAAATGGCTGGGATTTATAACACCCCGACACAGGAGTGTTGGAGAGTCCACAAGGCCTCCATGCACCCAAGTTGGCAAATAACAAGTTGGCAACCAAGCTCAGGGCAGCCTAGCCCTTTCTAAATAACACAAAAGCTTTGAGGCCTTGCCTTCCACATGACTTCTTTTTCCCCAATTGGATCTTCACAGCTTCCTTGGAAAGTTCACAGATAAGAAAGCCACTGGGACTGTGGAGGCCTCATTAATTTCCTTCAGCACATGCCCCTCATCTGCATCATCCAAGCACTGCTTCCGAGAGAGGAAAGTGGCAGAGCAGTGGACAGGGAGGGAGAAGCCCAAGGTCCCAGCCCTCACCCTAACTCCAGTTCTTTGGAGCTAATCTCTATCTTCAAAGGCCCAGACTTCAGGGCTTGATCTAGCTGAGGCCTGAGGCTCCATTGTTTCATATCTCTGAGCCTCTGCTCAGCCTTGGATGGTGTCCTGCAGCTTGTTCACTGCGCAGACCTGTCCAGGTGCTGAGTGACTGGAGGGGCCTCAAGCAGGGAGAGCCAGGGAGTGGGAAGCTGGGTGCAGGCCGGGTGATGTGCTAAGCCGCGTCCCACTTACTGACATTTGCTTTATTGCATTAAAGTCTTTCTCTGAAGGGTGAGTAAGTCCTCTAAATCAGGCATATGAGGATTGCTCATGAGCCAGTGAGTCACTGGAGGGTAAGCCAAGTGAAGCCCCACAGCTGGGGATGGCTCTGTAACTCTCACTCCCTTAATAGTCTCATTAATTACACTTCCAGGTTTGCCAAGACCAACTTCACACAACCAAGAGGGGGATTAAAGCTGGTGCTATCCAGTTCCTTTATGCCCCGTTTGAAGAAACAACACTTGTCTCCAGCAACATCTCAGGTTGAGATGTGTCTGGAAGAATAGAGATTAGTTCTTCCCATTTCTGATTGCTGGCCGGGTCTGTGAGTAAGCGCCCACCTGGTCTACCCCGGTTCCTGAGGTGGGCTTGACTGGAGCAGCAAACGTGAGCAGCTTCGTGCCAGGGAGCAGTGTGCTGGCAGGAGCCTCATGTGCCCAGGGGTCTCCTTTGCATGAAGTCCTGGGGATGATGCCCCTTAGATCTCAACACCCTGAAAGGCTGTATCTGTGTTGCTGGGGGTCTGTCTTCTGAACACCATAAAACTCATGACTGCCCCCGTTTCCTCCTCAGGCGCCTAGGCAGCTCAGAAGCAAATCTTTAGTTGCCCTGGGGGCATTATAAGGACCTTATGGTGTGCATTTCACATATGGACCCTGCCCTGTTTCCATTAAAATTTCCCGACTTTAGTTCTCTTGCCCTTATTTTTATAGTGGTTTAAAATAAGAAAAAACCTTGCGTAGCAAAGGTTAAATATGCCCCAATGTGTTTATGGAACAAGGGGATATGATACATAGAGAAGCCTGTGTCTCATCCCTGTTGCCACTCTCTATCACAGAAGCATTCATCTGTGGCATTGGGTTCCTTTGCCTTCTCCGTAACTACCAAGTTCTGTTTTCTTTCTGGAATAAATCTTGTCTAGAATCCACGTTCCCTCACTGGGGCCTTGGCCTCTTGTTTCAGAATCTTGGGCGCTGCCTTCCTTTTCAATCCTGGTTCTGCTGCTGGTTGGCGTCTCTCTGGGGGGTATTGGCATGGAGATGGCACAAGGCCCCCATGCAGGCCCTCCTGACCTTACGCACTGGAAGTAGGGAGTGCGATTCTGTGCCTAGAGAACCATCACCCTCTATCCATTTGACACGGCACACCTATTAGAACCTGGGAGTCAGTGGAGACAGAACCAAATGCCCCGTCGTGAAGTATTGAGGAAGGTCCTCTGAACTTTCTGTCCCAAAGTGGAGCTGGCCTCTGAAGTTGGACCATGTCCCAGCCTCACACCAAGCCCTTTCACCTCTCCCCTCTCCTCCCAGGCCCTGGCTCGATCCTCCCCGCTCTGGTGGCCGCGAATTTATGTCTAAGCACTGGGATGTGGCAGTGGTAGACATGGCTAACAACACAAGTCCTGCCTTGCTTCATCCCTCTACCTTCTCTGACATTGTTTTGAACATTGTTTCAGCCATGGCCTCTCTTCCACCCCCACCTCCACCGGAGTGCAAAAAAGGTGAGTTCTTATTGAACCCTGGTGCCTTCTCAATCATTTCTAATATCAGGAGTATGTGTTAAGTACCTACTACTTGCCATAAGCCAAGCTAGGCATGTTTACAAACAAGGTCTCATTTAATTCTTACCACAACCTTGCACAAATGTTTTTATCTTCATTTTTCCACGTGTACACACTGGGCCTGGGAGCTATAAAGTAACTTACTCAAGGCCTCACAGGTAGTAAATGGTACAACCAGGATGAAACTATTTCATTGACCTTGAACCCCTCTGAACACCTGAGATTTATCGTAGGTGCTTTCATCCATGGGGATTTTGTTAGCAAGGAAAAGCATCTTCTCAGGCTACATTAAGTAAAGAGACTGTGGAGAGATGCAAAGGGCATTTAATGCACAGCTCTGCTCCACTATAGCTACACAGGCTTTCTGACAGTCCCTTGAACATTTCATGCTCCCTCCTGCCTCAGGACCTTTGCACAAGCTGGCCTCTTTGCCTCAAACACATTTTTCCCTAAATTCACTCTTGAACTAAACTACTTCTTCACATCTCAGCTCAAATGTCACCTCTTCAGAGGTGAAGAACCCCAGAATAGGTCAGAAGTTCCTTTTTTCTTTCTCGTATCTCCCTATCTATATCTTATATTTCATCAAAGTTTAATAATTAATTTCTCTGTCATTATTTTATTAATGTCCATCTCTAGACTAGAAGTACCAGGAAAGCAAAGATTATATTGCATTTCAGGAGGGACCTAGCACAGGGCCTGATTTTATTAGCAGGCAGTTAATGAGTTTTGATTGCATGAAGGGGTGAATGAATGACAGGTTGGGAATGAAAAACTGCCAGAACCAGAAGCTTCTTTCTGTTTCTCTCAAAGCCAGCACTATCCACTACATGTGAACTCCTTTTCTAGGGTGCCACTTGGTGCCACCAGTCAATCCCTCCCGTCCTAGAGGAAACGACTTTCATAGATTTATTATTATTGCTACCCTGCCGGTCAGCGTCCATGTGATCACATCACCTGATTGGTTATTGATCAGCCTATGGGTGGGCTGCCCTTGGACCAGGTGTGCATCCTGGGACCTGTCTGTTTCCTTGAATAAGGCTGTGCATAGGACAGTTTCAGCCAGAAAGAACAGCGTTCTTACTACACATTTGCTTGATTTTCTGTGGTAAACGGTTCAATTGGTGTCAGCAGACTGAACACTCAGTAAGAAGGTTCAGGAGACACCCATATAGGCTGGGCATCCTCCTGTCCCAACTCCAGTGAGCACACACAGGATCAGTTATGGTACCTAATTTAAAATCCTGGTGGAATTTATTTATAGTAGTAGGTCATATCTCTTCCTACTCACGCACCCATCCCCAGTTCCTTAAAAAGTTTACAGAAACCAAGAAGCTAGTAGATGGGAACTTAAAATAGATTCCTAACGCCGTCTGTACACTTTTCGCTCTGGACTTCTCCAGTAGCCATAAGAAAATGTGCCATTTGAGAGGAATGAATCTCCCAGATAGTGCAACTTCGAAGATATCTCTGATAGGAAGATGAAAAAATTATTTCCCGCATTTGAGGAAAAGAGCAGTTGACTTGGAAGACCAAGACACCCAGCTTAAAGATCCTATTCTGCTGTTTTGGGATGAAGTGTTAAATGTCAATTAGGTCAAGCTGATTCATAGAAGGTCAAATCTTCTATGTCCGTAGTGATTTTCTGTGTA